CACATCTTCTTTATCCATTCATCTACTAATGGACACTTAGGTTGCTTCCATTTCTTGGCTATTGTAAATAGCGCAGCGATAAACATAGGGTTGCATCTGGGTTGCATCTGTCTTTTTCAAATTGGGATGCTGTATTCTTAGGGTAAATTCCTAGAAGTGGGATTCCTGGGTCAAATGGTATTTCTATTTTGAGCTTTTTGAGGAACCTCCATACTGCTTTCCACAATGGTTGAACTAGTTTACATTCCCACCAGCAATGTAGGAGAGTTCCCCTTTCTCCACATCCTCTCCAACATTTGTTGTTGTTTGTCTTTTGGATGGTGGTGGTCCTTATTGATTTGAGGTGTTATCTCATTGTGGTTTTAATTTGCATTTCTCTGATGACTAGTGATGTGGAGCATCTTTTCATGTGTCTGTTGGCCATCTGAATTTCTTCTTTGGAGAACTGTCTTTTCAGCTCCTCTTGCCTATTTTTTAATTGGATTGTTCACTTTTTATTTGTTGAGGTGTGTGAGCTCTTTATATATTTTGGATGTCAACCCTTTATCAGATATGTCATTAATGAATATATTCTCCCATACTGTAGGATGTCTTTTTGTTCTGTTGGTGTCCTTTGCTGTACAGAAGTTTTTCAGCTTGATATAGTCCCACTTGTTCATTTTTGCTTTTGTTTCCCTTGCCCAGGGAGATATATTCATGAAGTTGCTCACGTTTATATCCAAGAGAGTTTTGCCTATGTCTTCTTCTAAGAGTTTTATGGTTTCATGACTTACATTCAGGTCTTTGATCCATTTTGAATTTACTTTTGTGTGTGGGGTTAGACAATGATCCAGTTTCATTCTTTTACATGTAGCTATCCAGTTTTGCCAACACCATCTGTTGAAGAGGCTGTCGTTTCCCCATTGTATGTCCATGGCTCCTTTATTGTATATTAATTGACCACATATGTTTGGGTTAATATCTGGACTCTCTATTCTGTTTCACTGGTCTGTGGGTCTGTTCTTGTGCCAGTACCAAATTGTCTTAATTACTGTGGCTTTGTAGTAGACCTTGAAGTTGGGAAGCAAAATACCCCCTGCTTTATTCTTCCTTCTCAGGATTGCTTTGACTATTTGGGGTCTTATGTGGTTCCCTATGAATTTTAGTACTATTTTTTCCAGTTCATTGAAGAATGCTGTTTGTATTTTGATAGGGATTGCACTGAATTTGTAGATTGATTTAGGCAGGATGGCCATTTTAACAATATTAATTCTTCCTACCCAAGAGCATGGAATGGATTTCCATTTATAGGTATCCTCTCTAATTTTCTTGAGAGTGTCTTGTAGTTTTCACGGTACAAGTCTCTCACTTCCTTGGTTAGGTTTATTCCTATGTATTTTATTCTTTTTGATGCTATTGTGAATGGAATTGTTTTCCTGATTTCTCTTTCTGCTAGCTCATCGTTAGTGCATAGGAAAGCAACAGATTTCTGTGTATTAATTTGTAAATGACTATTTCTTAGCCCCACTTTGTCCCATTTGGGAGTTTTATGATTGCCTCTCAGTTGTTCAGAAGGAATGATATTTACTGTCTTTAACAAAAGTGAGAATTGACAGTGTTGAACTTTATCTGAGCCCTGTGCTCCTGGAAAGAAACAACTGGGTCAAGAATCTCTCCCCCATTTTGTAACCTCTTTGGTTTACATGAAATGGCAACGAGCTAACCGCAAAGGAATCTACCCCTATAGATTCAGAAATGTGATGTACCTCCATGTTTTCTCAATGATTCCCCCTTGTTTTGTAAAAATCCAAATCCTCTCCCTCTTTGAGACATTGAATAATGGACATTCTCCCTGCTCCAACAGCCTGAATAAAACATTTCCTTAATTGTCTAGTATATTTTATCTTTCACAGAAATAAAAAGCCATCTTTAAATTACCTATTTTCCAAGATGATTTCTGTTTCACTTGGAATCCTGCCCGTGAGGAGAAATGTGGCCTGATTGATTAGTAGTTTGTCTAGAGCATCAGGTGTAGGCATGTCTCCAGCTCTGGCTCTGCCACTTATACTGTGTCACCATTTGTCTTGCTAATGGGTTTCAGCCCTGGGCAAGTTCACTATAGATTCAATGTGACCAAAGAAATCAACAGCAAAATATTCTTGGGGTGAAAGGGTTTTACCCAACTTTATTTCCAGGTGGCAGGTCAGTCACTAGAATCCCATTCACTCAGAGGAGTCTGCAGGCAGCAAGCCAGTCTCTGCCCCTGGGCCTTTCTGCCTGCACAGTCATCCCGCACAGCTGTCCTCTGGGCCGCTCTGCCTGCACAATTGTCCCGCACAGCCATCCTCTGGGCCTTTCTGCATAGTCATCCTGCACAGCTGTCCTCTGGGCCTCTGTCCTCAGCGCCGCCACCACTCCAGCCTCTGCTCTGCTCTCCTGCAGCCTTGCAGCCCTGCCACCATGTCACGCCCAGAGCACTGGTCGGAGGTCTTTATATAGAGTTAACAGCTATGTATTGCCCACAGGTGTGCAGTGAGTTATTCAACCAGGACAGGTGAGAATCCTGGCCAGAGGAACTCTCATTTTATCCACACCATCGATCTTCCTGTGCCTCAGTGTACTCATCTGTAAGTGGGAATGATGACGATGATAAAGTCAGAACCTACCTCACAGGGTTGTTGTGTGAAGAGCTAATCATAAGTGCCTGGTTCAGAGAGCTAGACATGTCCCTGTTATTGTTATTTGAGGAACACCTAAGGCTCACCATGTCCATATATTCTGAGGAGAGTTTATTTCCTACTCTGTACTTCTGAACTGAAATTTCATACTCACCTGTTAACTCCAGGACTTGTACAGCACATACATTGTAAGAAATAGTAAATATTGAATAAACTAATGGGGGATGAGTGGATGGATGGATGGATGAAGGAAGGAAGGAAGGGACTATGCATGAGGGGTAAGCATTATAAGCAAAGAGTGATTGTTTTTAATCAAATGAAGTATTTCTTTACAGTTAAGTGAACAATTTGAATTCTCACAGACGTGTCATTAATGCTCAGAAATCAAAGCAGATACATTTTGCAAAGGGAGTTGGTGCTACACAAGCAGCTGATATGATCTAGAACATTACACTCAGTGTTCTGGGGTCAAGGCAGTATGACCTAACTTCAATTAATGACAGCTGACTCTGGAAACATGGTTTCTTTCTTTCAGGGAAAGGAGTATAAATTAGAGTCTAGCCTGATTGAAATGCAACACTCTTTAACTGAGTGCAGGGATTTGAATTCACACTTTCTGATTTGTCAGGGGGACAGAAATGCTTTCCACATATAATCAGCCCCTTCATTCTTCATACAAAATGGAAATATATAGACTTATCCAGGCACTAAATGTGGGCAATCTTTTTAAATTTTAAAACAGATCTGTAAGAATTAAGCTGTAATGCGATAATCATTTTATGTTCTGAAACAAACCAATATTCCAGGGAACTAGCCATACTTCCTACTATATACTGCCCTCTAGTGGATTTCTGTCAGACATAACCTCTGAAAATTATTTTAAATAACCTACACGCATAAGCTTTCTTGTACATGTGATGCTAAATCTTTAAAATAAACTTTAAAAATGTGTTTGAAAATATTAAACAGTACTCCCCAAAATTATTTTTTCAAAAATGCTCTTGTACTTAAATTACCTGGTGTCAAGGTAAAGTGCCTATTCATTTCCTCCAGAGCTTGATCCTCCCTCAGTTGCCATAGCTTGCTGTACAGTTGGTTTATTTCTATTTTTGCCCATCTCATTAGTGGATCCTGAGCCTACTACTGCTTCTAACTAAATTCACCCTGTGTAAAAGAGGAATGACTTGTGCTGGTCAGAAGAAGCTCAAATAACTTCTTTAAACACTGCCTTGACACCACTGGTTAAGCAAATGGCTATTTCTCCACATTTTACAAAAGAAAGCCACAAATCAATGGTAATGTTTAGAAAAGAACTTAGATGTTCTCATTTCTACTGACCCCTGGATGTGTGAAGTTCTGATAACAAGAAGATGGCTTTCAGTATATGGTGATTTGACTTGTTCCACTCAAAATTTGGTTTGGTTACATATTTCCTGTCTTTCAGTATCTACCTGATTTCTCACTGCTTATGTTTTAGTATCTGGACACTGCAACATTTACTGTTGTTTTAAAATAATACCTCAGGGTAGGACTGCTTCTCATAAGGTAATTATCTTCCTCAGTTTCCTTTGGTAAACATTACACAACAAATATTCCACAAGGAATTGGGAATTTAATGAATGAGATTTTCTCAGAGCAGGAATTTATGATGAATACTAATTAAATAGCAGGACTCTCATGGCTAACTAATTATGTGGAAAAGAAAATGACCAGGAGAACATTTCTGGAAGAAAGTTGTTTTTTTCTTTTTAGTAAATGCATGACTAAAGTTAACCTCAATTTAGTGTTCTTAAAAATACATATAAAATGTTAAATCATTCAGTGAAAACTAGCTTCTTTCTTGCTGGTAAAAGACCTTTTTAGAAGTGGGGTTTTAACATATTGCTGTAATAATAATTCACCACCAGATTATTGGACAATGTCTTTGCTGTCTGATAAAATTTTTAAATAACACAGTACTTAAAGTCTATTTGTGTTTTTTTAAATGCATTTCTATATCCTACTTACTTATCAAGAAATTTCCTCAATACTCACAAAATGAATATAGGAAATTGTCTGTTTTGCTTATAATAATAACCTCAATTACACTTTAAATATGTCACAACTAGAACTTTGAGATAAATCTCTTTCCAGACTGAAAAATACAGGATTAAGTGGAGCTCTTGAAAGTGATTGATTAAATTTGACTCCAGTGTAATATTTATATATTAAACATATATTTACTCTCTTCCTCTAAAATATTGAGCATCCACTCTACACCAGAACGTATATAATACATGGAGGATTCAAACATCAGCAAGACAAGGTACTGCTGAGTAGGAGTCCAACATTTAGTGGGAAAGACAGATGAGTAAACAAGTAATTAAAATATGATACAGTTAAGTGTTTGTAGAGAAAATGGAAAGTTCCTATGGCCGGGATTCTCACCTGGCCCTGGTCGGCTAGCTCACTGCACACGTGTGGGCAATAACTTACTATTGACTCTATATAAGGAGCTACACCCCATTGTTCTGGCTGTATGGCTGCAGGAGAGCAGAGGCTGGAGTGGTGGCAGTGTGGAGGACAGAGACAGAGATGGCTGTGAAGAGATTTTTGGCGGCAGAGACCAGCTTGCTGCATGCAGACGTGCTCTGAGGGGACGGGATTGTAGCGCTTGACCTGCCACCGCGGGAATAAACCTGGGTATAAAGCCTTTCACCGCAAGAACGTTCCAATGTCATTTTCCCATCTCATCCAGTCAGGAGTGAACTTGCCTGGGGCTGAAATCCATTTAAGAGAGGCATGTAGAGGTTATTATGAGACCATAGAAGGAACATATAACTTCAAGGGGGGACATTTCATAGAAGCAGCATTATTTGCATTTTAAAAAATAGGTGACTTTATTGGGTACATGTGGGGAAGTTTGAGTTCCCATGGCCAGGATCCTCACTGAACTTAAACCACCTGATGATGTAACTGGCCTGTTGCTGGGCTGCTGCTTCCATACCTGCAGGCAATTAGCTATTACTGCACTATATAGAGAGCTTGGCCCAGTGCTCTGGGCAGAGGCAGAGATACTAGTGCTCGACCTACTGCTGGGAGAACAAGCTGGGTAATAAACCCTTTCACCCCAAAGAAACGTTCTACTGTCATTTTTTTGGTCACACTGAATCCATAGCGAACTTGCCGGGGACTGAAACCCACTGGCAAAACAGTACACAAGCTGCAATGAGGCAACTCCAAATTCAAGTGCAGCCAGGCATTGAAACAGCTGGCTTGGGAGGGAACCTGCCAATACTTGCATCTGACTCGAGCAAGAGCAGTCTCTAGGGTAAAGGGTAATTTGCGGGCGAAGGGGTTCTTGTTTCTGTAGATGCTTTGGAAAGTTTATGGAAATAGTTGAATTTTAAGCAGGATAATGGTATGATTAAATCTAAATTTTAGCAAGTGTACTCTGGTGGAGAAAAATTGTGAGGGATATTTCATTAGCTGTAGTCAAGCTGGTTAAGAGGACTGGGGGGGGGGTGGGTAAATAAAACATGAGATGCTGAGAAATACAAAGCCAAGAAGACAATAAATCCAATGGCATATGGCTTAAGAAACTCACATTAATTTTTTTTCTGTATTTATACATTCTCTAAAGTGAATGTATAAATCCTGTCAAATTGTTCCTCAGGTGAAGAATGTAAAAGTGAATTTCTAATCAGAAATATGGCCACATGTCATTAATAGAAGCAATTGTCACTCATATTTGCTTATTTTCCTTTCTCACAGAGTATCTTCTGTACACCTGTTTCTGCTCATGTCTCTTATCAGACCTGGATCTTGCCTTCCCTTTCCAGGTTAGTCACTTAAAGGCATTGTTCATAGGCCAAGAGAAATCTCTGAAATACGAATTAGTAGGGGGAATAAACCACTAGAAAGAAAAAATGACAAGAGACAGTGCCAGACACACAGGATAATGCACTGGCATTTCTGCAGTGACTAAAGACAGTCTAGAACACAATGCACTCATCCTTAATTTGAGCGAATTTGAGAATCATTTATAAATGCACCTTGATCCTGGGCCAAAAATAAAATAAAAATGATATCAATTTTGATGCTTAAATAAATCTTATTGGGGAAAAGAAAGCCAAGCGCTTTATATTTTATGACAGCTGAACTCAATTTTAGTGGGGCAGAACTGAACAAGAGTGCTCAGTTTATAAGGGGAAAAAAGGTCAAATGTGGATAGATTGTCATGACCCTGGAGCACTTGGACTTGTATTCCAGACAGGATGAAGGCAGCTCTCAATTCGGAGCCCTTCAGTGCCATGTGCTGCTCAGCCACTTGCTGGCTTTGGGTCCCTGGACGTGTTACTTAGCCGGCCTCGGCCTAGTTTAGTCATCTATAATGGGCTTCCATGGCACTATTGATGTTTGGGGCTAGACAGTTCTTTGCTGTGGGTGACAGTCTGGAATGTGAGCCAGGATGGTCTGAGCATATTTCCTCTAGTGTGTGGTGAGCTCCCGCCTGTGCTCAGCCTTGTTCCCCGCGGGTGGCTGCTCACACATATCCACGTCATGAACACCATGCACCCAGGCTAAATCTTTGTAGAGAAAAGCAGTATTTCCCAAAGAATTAAAGTTTGCAAGAATAGTGCTCTGGCTAAATCAAAAGGAAATCACATTACAAAGTAAAGATCTAGGTTTTTCATCTTAAAATCTGCATTCAAAACACTTTGCAATTTTCTTTAAGAATAGTAGAGCAAATTATTAGCACTTGTAACTGAAGTCTATTTATTGTTATCCACAAAAATAATAGCACAGTCCAAATTCAAGTTTTTCCCTTTTGCTAGATTAAGACCATCTGCACGCACATTTAAGTTAGAGTTTGCCCTCAAAAGCTTCAACCATCAACAAAATGTATGGTCATGTGGTTCATTGGTTGATTTTAAGAACTGAGTTTTAGTCTGGACACCTTCTACAAATGTGAATTTCATCTTATATTTTAAAATTTGTATAACTAATGTTAGCTTCTTTTTAAGTCTTGCAAGCTACAAAGCCCCCATTTGATGTGCAATTTAATGTAAGAAAGGTCCAGGCTCCATTAAAGGATTTCTTTTTCTTATTATAGTCACACATTCCAACTTCTGCCAGTTTAGAAACATCTTGAACTTTTCTTTTATTGATACATCTTCTCTATCAATACTTGCTCTGGGAAAATAGTTGAAACACCAGAGCTAAAAGACGGGAAAAACAGACATATATACAGTTATTTATCAAGTAAACATGGAGATGTTTATGGTTTTTAAATACTTACCAGCACTCAGTTTCTAAAACAGATTTTTAAATTGACTAGGTGGAATTTAAAACAAAAAAATAAAACAACTTGTGTGGCCAAAGCTCCAGCTGAGATTCCAAAATTCCCCAGCAACGTCATCTGCTGTCAGCTGTTAGTTCTTCAGATACTGCTTCAAGTATTGGGGAGAAAGAAGTCACCCTGAGCCCACTTAAGGGGAGCTAAGCCATGCAGGAAGCAGGAGAAAGCACTTTAATATCTTCATTTGTCACAAACTTGTGTAACACCCCACTGAGATTCCGTGCACCATTTCTTAAGATAGAGCCACTTCCAGCAGTTCCATGTGGTGTAATCAACCATGGAAACAGAACGTTCCCAGATGGAAATAGATGTTCTGCTTTCTGTCCTCACCAACAGTAACAGTGCTAACAATTACAGTCCAAAGTGTGCTCCAACTTTGTTAATCTTTTAATAGTCTCAGCAAGCTGGTCAAGTGACCCTTACCTCCTTACTTATCCTCATAACTGCGTACAGATTTTACCAAAAATAGAAGTGCTTAGTTTCCAGCAAATCTAACCAGTTGCCACCTCGGTGTATGGGGGATCTGCTGCCAACATTGCGCGAGTTTGTGGTACAAAGAATTTTCTATTCCAATATCTCTGATACCATTCTCTCAGGCATTGTTTCATTTCTTTGGAATAAGGGGTTCTTAATCTGAAAAATGAGAGTAATAATAGGTACTCAGCTCTTTACCAACAAGACAGTGAGATGAGATGCACAGGGAGGAACACAAACTTAATGGGCTGGGTAATGGTGAGGGAGGAAAGAAAGAAACATAAAAAGCATGGTGGGCAAATGTCAAAGACATAATTTCTCCCAGGGCCACCCATTCCAATTTCCATGATTTACTTCTTCTTAAAGTTAAAATTGTGGAATGTAAAAAATCTTCTATACATTAACAGGCTACTCAAACAAACTGACCATGTTCTACTGATCAGGCCTCCTGCTAATTCTATAACTCATTGCTTGAGAGAAGTAAATAGAACAATTCTACAGCCACCAGCAGTAGTAAGAAGTGCCATGTCCTTCTGCAGAAGCAAACATGCCACCTGAAACTGCCATCGAGTTGGGAGCATGTTTAACACCCCACTGAGATTCCAAAGTGATGTTATTTATTACTGCTTGTAAGTGAATATGTGGGCAAGAATAATTGCACAGAGATAATGACATATTCCCTTTGCATTTGGTTCAAAATGTTATTACTTATCACTGTAAGAGATATGAGCAAGAATCACTGCATAGAGACAATGGCATTTTCCCTTGGCATTCCCTTGGCAAACAATAAAGCTTGATTCAGAGACAGATAATTACTTCCTAAAATTTTCAGGTAGCACAGTTCCAAAGTATTACCTTTTCAACCCAAATCTGAAATAATTTTGTCTCTGGGATAATAACAATAATAATAACAAATATTGCTCCCAAGCAATAAAATGGAGGGTGTCAGTGTTAATGTGGATCGCATTGCACATGTACCAAGTGCTTTACCTGTCATCCCATCCATGGCAGATACTAGTCTTCCCAATGTCTCTATTATCTTTCTTAGATGATATTAATAATAGAATAAACATTTTAAACTAAGACCACACCTGCCCATTTGCAGGCTACTATTGTAAGACTATACTTGCACTGGAAGTGTGAGAATATGACAGACTTCTAAACAAGGGGGCATGAGGAGAGCAGTGTGTGCAGCTTCCAGGTCTTGCCCCTAAAGGCAAAGCCTCACCAACTGCTTCCCCTCCACCTGGTTCCCACTGGTTAGAATGTGGGACCAGTTATCTTAGACCACAAGTAGAAGCTGAATGTTGAAATTGTGAAGCAACATGGTGGGGAGGGAGCCCAGACACCGTGGACCAAAACGCTACCACATAGAGCCTGAACTGTGTATCAGAACTTCTGCATTACAGAGGCACAAACTTTCACCTTGTTCAAGTGACTATTAGTTTGGACGTGTCATTAGCACCAAACCAACTTCCTAAGAAATGATTACATCTTCACAAGCTTAAAATGGAAATATTATCATCTCCATCTTACAAATGAGGACATTTAAAAAAACCTACCAACTTTCCAGACCTAGTAAGTGGCAAACCTAAGTTAAAAGTCAAATGCCAGTGTTTGCTGAATCATTGAAACCCTTACCAGGCTGAAACAGTTTAATTCTAAGACCTAGCTTTTTATGACTTTGGAACAGTCATATTTATTCTATTTCATCTTCAATTTTGTCATCAGCAAAAATCTAGTGCAGGAAATGAAACACTCTAGGAATTTAATACAGATATTGTCATTTTTACAAATATCTTAAAGATCTAGAAGAGCTGCCACTGCCACTGGATTTTTGATATTAAGGGCACACCATCTGAGATATGGCCAGGAAATAGCTGCTCTTAACTGATGACACTGCTGCTTCACATCTGTGAAACTGATGATTTGTAAGACAGAGCCTACAGCTGCAAAGAACCTCAGCTGCAAAGGAATCAGAAATGTGGTCTTTACCCATCTAGCAACTCTATCCTGGAGGAGCTATAGAAGGAAATGCAGATGAATGCACAGAAAAGATTAGACGAGACAGTGTCTAAGAATCCTGGCCCCACTTCTTACTTGCTGTGTGTCATTGGGCAAGTAACTTAACCTATTGGTGCCTCAATTTCCTCATTGAAAAATAAAAATGATAGTGGTACCTACTACATAGGGATGTTGTGAAGATTAAATGATTCCAAAAATATGTAAAATATTTAGGCAGTGACTGGCACATGGTATTATATGTATCTATTATAATTACTATGGGTATCATGTTAATCACTTCTAATTCCAAAATTCTCCAATTTATTTATCTTCAGTTTAAGAAATTGCAAGAACAACCATCCAACATCCTCTGGTGTTAGCTGCATGGGGAATCTTTGACCATTGGACAAAGTCTGTGATGTATCTCTTCTTTATTACATTGTAAATGCTAAGATTTCTAAATTTCTCTTAGATAAAATTTGTTCAGATTTCTGGCCAATTTTTAAGTGATACTATGGCTGGGACTGATGGTTTTCCTGCAATAGACATTCTCTCTCTCTGTCCCCTAGTACAAGATTCCCTGATTCTTTGGCTGGATATCTGCTGACCAGAATATACACAGCATTCCTGCCTCCCTTGCAGCTAGGGTGGACATGTGACTCAGTTCTGTTCTCTTGAAGTTAACAGACCTGAAACCTCAATTTACCCTTAAACAGAAAGCTATACCTTCCCTTTCCTCTTTTCCTTTTTCTGTCTGTGGTACATGCTGCTGCCCATTAACAGTGCCTTACAAAAGGTGACTGTTACATATTCAGTAATTTTGCAAGCCAGTTGTTAAACTGTTGGTAGTTTTATATGAGCCTTGGCAGGAATATTTATAGCATGGAAATCCACAAACACAAGTCAGAACTTCCCCCTACCCAAAAGGAATCTCCTTTTTCAGAGAGTCAGTTTACCAGCACCATTGTCCTTGTCCTCCTAGAATCAGGATACTTGAGTGACCAGTCTATGGGCCCATATGATGAGGACAGGTCCCAGAGACAGCAGAGGAAGCAGTCTGAGCTCCTAATTCAGAGCAAAGCCATTGTGCCAGTTTGTGCTTTCCATGTATGAGACACACATTTCTAACAGGGAACAACTTGGCCCCCCAGGGGACATTTAGCAATGTCAGGAGACATCTTTGGTTGTCATAACCAGGAAGGTATGGTTGCTTCTGGCATCTGTGTGCCAAGCCCAGGGTTACTGCTAAGCATCCTACATCTACAAGGCAATGCCCAATATCAAGAATTATAAGGTCCAAAATATCAGCAGTGCCAAGACTGAGAAACTCTGATCTTGTTTCACTATTATGTTCGATTTCTATTACAGCAGGAAAACCCAGAGCATAACTAATATTAGTTCAAATTTACAGATGAAATCTCCAATATCCTTTTATATAAATATAAGTGCATACATACATTCATAACACCTACACATGTGTGTATGTATAGACACACTAAATAACCTTTACCTAAAATAAAATCTGAAGGTAACTACTTGTATAATGGGTTTCTTGGCATTTTTCTACTTTTGAAGCATTCATTCCTTGAAATCTCTGAGCACTGTTTTGGGCAGTGGAAGAGGTAATTTACCAAGTAACTAGAGAAGTTTAAAGAGTTAATGCCCTGTCAGAGAATGAGTAATTTACTCCTACCCAGAATCTTATATTGGGAGCAAGAGGTGAGGATGTTAATATTTCCCCTCCAAGAAAGTGGGGGACCTGAAAAGCTCCCTGTAATTTCCTCCTGAAATTACACCAAAGATGGTATTGAACCTGACCAGTAGAGTTCTTCTGATCACATAGAAGTGAAAATGGGTTCTGCAGAAATGTCCACTGGGAAATAAAAATGTCGACAAAGATAAAAAAATGAAAATTCAAGCTATCCAGGGATGTTCAGTAGGAAAAAACCCTGAAAATACATATTCTGTGAGACCAGAGTGAATCTGAGAGAGAAAAAGCAATAGATACTTTACAGTTTTTATGTAAGGGAAAAATGGACAGTTCTGATCTCTCCAAAGCAAACATAATTGTTTTAGCACTAAGTATTAACTGAAGCTTATTTCTCAATTATTTATATAATATGAATCGTATATCTAATACAAATTACATAGGTATGTGTGTGCATGTACGCATATAAATTAAACTGAGCTCTAAAAGTTTTAACATAATTATAATAAAAATCAACTTAACTTGATTTCTTCTCTATTTTACCTAATCAAGGAATCACACTTTTGTAAGTAACAATAACCTTTCTTCCCATCATTCTAGACATATCCTATGATTGCTACCCTTTTATCTGATTTTTTTTCTTTCTACCTTTGTTACTTTCTCTCTAAAATTCATACAGGTATGTGATTTCATCTATCCCTCACCTTTTTGAGCAAACTGCTCCTCAAAGTTCTTCCATTAACTTCATCCTGATATTTTCTATATCTTTTGCTTGTGTTCCACCTGTTACTCAAAGTTATAAAGTACGATTCCTCCCCAAAATGTCTAGTATTCATCATCATTATTATTTATAATCAGGGGACTTCCTTCCCAGTGCCTCAATTCAAATCTTTTACTAATTTATCAAGTTTTAAAGCTATTGTTAATCTAATCACCACCAAGCATACATTTATCGAATAACTTCTATATGCTAATGTTCTGAAGGAAACAAAAATGAATCAGACAGGTCCCTCTCTAAAGAAATTTACAATCTAGCAAGGGAATTAGGACATTTTAAAGAAACTGTATTTCATTTACATTATTTCTCAAGAGGAAGTTATATGGCTTCATAAATCAGCTATATATATTAAAGCAACACAGTGATTTGTGTTCAAATACTCCTGAATTTTTATATTAAAAAATTAAATATCTTTTGGATAGTTCTTGCTTAAAAAGAAAAATACATACTGAATTTTGAAGAGTCTCTAATTCTTCTTTATAATTTTCTCTAATCATTACTATTGGTTTCCCCATGTGTGCACAAATTCAACCTTGTAAATGTTAACATATATGGAAAGAATAAACAAAACTGCAACCTACATTCCACTCCTGCCTCAGAGGTTGCTAACTGGCACCTAATGAGTCATTTCTAACCCAAGATGTGCTTGTTGAGTCATTTCTAATCCAAGATGTGCTTGTTGAGCACACACTATCCTATTTCTTAGAAAGTATGATTTTCCATACTTCATGCAACCTATTTGTTCTGTGCCTTTTCTTTGTTGCCCCTCTGATCTTCCAGTTTGGCCTTGCCCCCTCTTTGCCCTTTCAGCTATGCAGATTCTGCCATCCTTCAAAATCTGGAGACCTAAGTCCCACTATAAAGCTTTTCTCAGTTGTGCTAGTTCTCACTGACCTGACTTTAACCTCTTTCTATTATCCACATCATATATTCATACATCTTGTAACATGTGAAGTCCCTTGTTAAAAGATTCACTAATGGAAGTGACCTCTCCTGCAGAGACAAACTATCACTATTCATTTACAGGAAATCCCCAGATATGACCACTGCTCTGCCATCTTGAATCCCAGTTGGTACAATTGGATGCTGTGGCCACTCAGGATCTTGTGCAAAAATATAACTGGAGAAACTGTTGATGGGAGTGAAGTCTCCATGGGCAGATCCGAGAGCCTCAGCAGGATCCTCCCTCTGGGTCACCCTCCCAGGAATGCCAGCCCTTCCACACACAATCTCTACTCCCTTACCCCTCCCGGCTTTCCTAATCCCAGCTCCAGAATACCCAAATACTTCTACGCCTAACCCTGCCTCTATTTGTGTCAGCCTTCCTGGGGCTTTTCAAAGCTGCTTTACCTGGTCCTTACTCCTGAATGGGAAGGCTCTGTCTATCCCTTCCTGCTCATACCTGTTAGGAAACATGTAATCAGGTTTTTAAATTTAAAAAGACATAATAAAATTACATAAACAGATTATAAAGTGTAATATAATTGTTATATAGTATGCAGTTTTGACATCTGACATCAATAGAGTCTATATTTTGTAAATATTCACAAAATCTCAGCAAACTCTTTTAAGGTATCTTTTGTTCTCATCACTTCCTGTCTTTAGATTCTCTTCCATAATCTTAGGAAATGTAACTGACCGTGTGAACCTGAGACCCACTCTGACTGTCGGGTGTTTCTAAATTAAGAAAATGTTCACCTCAGTCATAGTAGCTTTTTTTAAACAGTGAACAATGAAATATGTATTACTTCCCTAGATGGAAATAATCATTGCCCACAGGTACTAAAACCAAAAAATTCTAAACTAAATCACTTATATGATACCCTTTTTTTCTTTCTAGCATTTTTTCCAACATTCCAGAAGAGAAATAGTTCTCTTTCATTATCATAAAAAAGTTCTTGGGGTTTTTACCTTTTATTATTTTCTTTTTAAAAGCCTGGTTTAGATTTGAAAGGCAAATACAAGTTTCAATATTGAAAATTAGAGACAAAATGACCACTAAAATGGTCTGAGAAGTCGAAAAAGAGTCCAAAGTGCCCATACAGGGGAAATCCCAGTCTGATTTTCAGAAGTCGTGAATGTCTCATGGCTCTGTCTGTGTTCCAGCTTCTCTAAAATAATAAGTGATTTGGGTGTCACCCAGATTTCAAAGCTGTCATATTTCTGGTATTATAAGTGTGTATATGGTATTATGAATATAAAATATAATGAGATAATTTTTTGGTTTTTAAAAATAAGATGCATACAATAAAGTGCACAAATCTTAGTGTGCACCTTTATGAATTTTGACATGTATATACACTCATGTAACCACCACCAATGATTGGATAATTTTTAATTAGTGGATAGCTCTGAAATATATTCCTGCCCTGAATATAAACATGACAATTGCATGTGGGCAATTAAAAATGTCAACATATTTGATTTATGCCATATGACTTTCTAATTCCCATTTTCAACAACTCATGGACTTTCACTGTCTATAAATCCATAAATGCCAGACTCTTGCCATCCTTATTGTGGGAACTGATTTCAAAGGAGTGAGACCCCCCTAACCTATGGCATATAGGAAGCAGGTAACAAAAGCTCTGTGAATCTATCTGATTGCCAGAAAACTTTGAAATCTACTATGAAAAAATAAAAGCTAGATGTTACTAATATGGCTACAAATGGCAATGGAAAAACACAGATTCTCTTTTCAAATTGTGTCCCCAAGACCCAGAAAAACTGTAATGAACTATTATGTGTGTGCAATTTTAATTAGCATTATTCATTATGAAATATTTAAATTTTTTATACACAATATCTATTATTCCTTAGTTGGTCCTTAAGACTCATGTGTGTGTATATATATATGTATGTATATATATACATGTACACATATATATGCAATATGTATGGTGGATAAATACATATAATCACTTGGTGTAAACCAGGAAAAAAAAGAATGAAACAAAACAACTTCACTCCTTAAAAACAAAATGAAATCTATACCACTTAGTCACATTTGAAATTAGAATTGTTACTGAAGAGTTTTCAGTTTATTTTCCTTTCTTTCTTCCCAGGCAAAACATCCATAAGTCTTCCTCAGGAGTATGATCATTCATACTGACAACGTGCACTACACTAGGTCCAGGATAGAAGGTATGCTCTATGACAAATGCTCTGATTTAGTATTGACAGGCTAGCTGGAGTCAGGAAGCAGCAGAGAAACTAGATTCGAACAGCATCCAGGCTCTCCTTTCTAAAAGTGAAGAGTTGGGATTGAGGGACTGGTGTGCAAGTGTACACAGAGTAGTTGTGACTCCATGGTAAGATCTTGTCCATGAATGTGCACCAGCCTCAGCCAGGTGGGGCTATTTCTGACAGAAGCAGATGACCCTTCTATACTGCCTGTACTTCCTACAGCAAACAGATGAAAGCCTAAGACCCTGCAAGATGTTGAGACTTCAAGACTGTAGGAGCCTTAATCCCTGACTCACCCCTTGGGGAAAGCTGCCTCCTGACCATGGAAACACACACTTGACTTTTACAGGAGCAGAAACATCTATTTGGCTCAACTGTTAGGCAGGAAGCTAGAGGTAAGTGGGAGGAGAGGTTGGGGTGACCACAGAGAAATTGAGACTAGTGAGTTGAGACTACAGATAGCTTCCATCAATGAGAAAATCCCTAGCAGGAGGAGTAAAACTGGAGAAATTCCACAAGCTTGACTCCACCTGGACATGATCCTGGGGTGAACTGAAGTAACCTTCCCTCATTATGAAGTCATTAAAATAAATCTGTATTGCCCATTCTGCCCCTCTTGGGGGGCAGAGAGAATTTTGGGAAAGAGCATGCGCAGTTGTAATTAGTTTACATCCTTGCCAGCCTGTCAATCAACATTTGTTTACATAACAATACCTCTCCTAAAAAAAACTGACAAATCCCATAAAAAAGAACTTTCCCCAAATATTCAGGGCCTGCCTGACACTAGGTTGAGGCTCTCTCTATAACAGAGAGTAATAAACTTGTCTGCTTTCTTGCCTTTGGTTTCACTAGGACTTCCCTGAATCACTCAACCGAGAGTTCCTTCCTAACACAACCACTAGATTTTTTTTATTTTTTATTTTTTATTTTTTATTTTGGTATCATTAATCTACAATTACATGAAGAACATTATGTTTACTAGGATCCCCCCTTCACAGTCACTGTCCATCAGTGTAGTAAGATGCTATAAAATCACTACTTGTCTTCTCTGTACAACCACTAGATTTTACTTTGCTTTTTGTTTTTTTTTGGTATAGCAATTATAGTTAGCTAAACTATAGACCTTTCTATTCGGTTTTTTGGTTGTTTGAGAAAGCAACTGGACAAATTAAGTTGACAGCTACACTACTGATAGTGTCTATACTGTTACAAAGTCATGACTTTCAATGAATGTTATTGTCAATGATACTAGTCAATGCCAATGTAAGGTCCTTATTAAAATAGAAATAACTACCCTAGTGAAAATTAATCATTCTCTAGTTAGTTAGTCTATTTATTTAGTATATGATTTGGATATGCACAAATGAATGTTTTAGTACCTTTGATGAGAAAGTTTGTTTTCTTCCTATGTCCTCTCATTTGAAATATATTGAGCATATAATCCAAAGAATAAAATGTTTCAAAGAGGTTTTTCACAAGCATGATTGTGATGGTTAATTTTATGTGTCACCCTGATGGCCATGGGGAGCCCAGATTCAACATTTCTGTGGTGTTTCCAGATGAGATTAGCACTTGAATTGATGGACTCAGTAAAGCAGATTGCCCAGTGTGTGTGGCCATCTTCCAATATGTTGGCAGCTGGATATACCAAAAGGCAAAGAAAGGAGCAAATTATCCCTTTTTCCTGTCTTACTGCTGAGCTGAAACAGTTAATCTTCTGTCCTCAAACTGGGAGTTAAACCATTGGCTCCCCTATTTCTCAGGCCTTTGGACTTAGAACTTCAGATTGAATTATACCACTGGCTTTGCTGAGTTTCCAGCCTGCAGATGGCAGATTGTGAAATTTCTCAGCCTCCGTAATTGCATAAACCAATTCCTCATAATTAATAAACAAGCAAAAACAAACAAATAAACACACTACTGATTCTGTTTCTCTGAAGAACCCTCGCTAATGGTGATCTCATATTTGTTCAAATGAACTTAAAACAAAATATCACTGAATATTTTAGAAATTTATTTCTCAAAGATCTACTTTTAAAACTACACGTAATGCTTAACTAGTTTTTTATATTATGGAAGTCATATCAAAGATATCTTTAAACAGTCTTTTTAAGAAGTTTTAAGTTAGCAAGTTACATAGAATATTTTTATTAAGTACTGTATAATTTCTTCTAGTCTTTTATTCCAACATAATATCCATTTTTGTAAGACTCATATTTTTTTAAATTAATTAATTAATTTTGTTGTCATTTATCTACAATTACATGAAGAATATTATGTTTACTAGGGTCCCCTCTTCACCAAATCCCCCCCAACCCCATTACAGTCACTGTCCATCAGCATAGTAAGATGCTGTAGAATCACTACTTGTCTTCTCTGTGTTGCACAGCCCTCCCCATGCCCCCCCCACATTATACATGCTAATCATAATGTCCCCTTTCTTTTTCCCAACCCTTATCCCTCCCTTCCCTCCCTTTCTCCCCAGTCCCTTTCCCTTTGGTAACTGTTAGTCCATTCTTAGGTTCTACGATTCTGCTGCTGTTTTGTTCCTTCAAGGACTCATAGTTTTTACTTAGTAGTTCAATATTTAAGTTTCCAAAGACACAGGAACAAATTTTAATGGATTAAATCAATTACAGAATACAAATAACATTTAAATGAATGTTGTCCACACAGTCCTTGGTATTAAGGCATACCCAGGATCTCTGACTCACTAAAAATGTATCTCTCTGAGCTACTTCTCCAGTCCTTGCCATTTCTCTAATTGGTTTCCTTGAATATCCTGAAAAATGTTTCTTTGATACTGTTTCCAGAAGCTTCTGAAATGGTTCAGGATATTATTTCAATGACATTTGCTTCAAGACCACACCAATAAAAGCTGATGTTCCCTAAACCTGAATGTGCATCAGGATTGTCTAAGGACTTTGTTAAACTGGGCCTTGTGCTCATTGGTTCTGGCTTGGTAGATTTAGGAGGGATCCAATATCTTTGTGATTTCAAATAAATAATGCTGAGACACAGAAGATGGGGTCCAGACACAGTTCCCCAATATATACTCAGGTGGCACAATGAGGGGAGTAGCAGGGTGGGATTCAGCAAGCCAGCAGGTGGTTCAAGCCTTTCACATTCAAATAGCTCACATGAAAGACAGACTGCCAGTGGGATGAGTCATCCAAATGGTGTACCACTATACATGCTAAAGAGACCACCTTCTTTATTGACTTCTGGAATCATGGCGATTCTACTTCCCAATTTAAATGAGAAATCAGGTCTTTATCCAAAAATAGGACTACTCTCACCCCTGCTATGGACTAGATGTGTGTGTCCTCCCAAAATTCATATGTTGAAACCTAAAACCAAAATGATGGTATTTGGAAGTGGGGCCTTTGGGGGGAAATTGGGTTTGGATGAGGTCATGCGGGTAGAGTCCTCATGATGGGACTAGTGCCCTTACAAGAAGAGACCAGAGAGCTAATTCACTTTCTCTATGCCAAGTAAGGATACAGATAGGTGGCTGCCTATAAGCCAGTAAGAGGACCCTCACTAGACCAATCATGCTGGCACCCTGGTCTGCCCTCTACCAGCATTTCTGAACCCCACTGCCTTGCTCTACTTTTTTCTATAGCATTTATTGACCTTTACCATATTAAAGAATTCACTTACTTTTACATATATATTGTACCCACAAGAATTTAACTCCGTAAGAACAGAAATTTTCATCAGCTTTGTTCACTAACATATTTCACACACCTAGAGCAGTGCCTGACACCTAGTTGATGCTTTATAAATCTTTGTCAAATGATTGAATCTCAGTCTTTCTCTTTTCTTCCTAGAGCTTGGTAATACACAGCTCAATATTTATTGTACAGTTCGTTTCTGCCCACTTTCTGTCTCCCGATGATATTATATGAAAAACCATGTGATTCTTATAAATAAACAACTTTCTCCTGAGTTCCATCCTAAAGGCTGATTCACTATCCAAGCCCATTACCCCTTCCTCCTCAAGGCCAGAATATTTCTGGACTAGAATCTCTGTAGTTAACTTAGCTGTTTGCTACCTGGTTAAGAAAGCATCTCCCTGTCTTACCACACATACCTGTCACCAAAATAGAACACCATCCTTTTCCCACTGATTAACATAAGGCCTCTGAATCTTCCGTCTCATAAGCTCAGCTTCTCCTGTTTTGGAAGGCAGTGATGTCACACAGTATTACAAGCTGCAGGCAAAACAGCTTGGGGTCCTGGGTGCCCCTTCCATTCTCAAATGCCTCCCAGCCTTGACTCTGTAAACTCAGTGTGGCAAGGCATCTCCAGATTCCTTGGAACTGTCACAACCTGTAATTAAGACATCACCCCGTACCTGGGAGGTTTTCCCTTCCTGTTCAAGAATGACCAGTGTGGAGGAGGTAGCCTAGGGGAAGAAACATCATCCACACCACTGGGGCCTGTCTAATCTGAGCAAACCAGTCATGATGTTCCCAGGTGTCAAATTCATCCAGAGACTACAAAGGTTTAGGGCCCAAAGCCTCAAAGAAGAAAATGGTCCCCTGTGCATATCCTCCCCCACAGACCCAGGATGGCTGACAGCAACCCCTCTGATCGCCTGGTCCTAGCCACTGCCTGTCCACCTCCTATGGAGGCGTCCTCTCCACCTATGTCCCTCTTGAACCTGCTAGCACACTGAGCAGCCAGGGAGAAGCAAAGTATTCAGGGTGCTGGCTGTCGTACTCTCCCCCTGCACCCAGCTTTGCCTTGGAGTCCTGACTAACACTTATTACTCCAGAGCTTTTGAGAGTTGAACTGGAGTGAAAGTGGGAATAAGAAATATTAGCTAAAATAGAATGTGAGGTTATCTTTAGATTTCAGTGACGTGGGCTTTTTTCTCCTGTCTGTCTTGTTTATTTTTGTGTGGTCTCCACTGTGTTTGGTTGTTACTGGTACAGAATTGTGCGGAGTTACACAGCCCAGAAGGGGAGAAAAACACTTAACCATTAAAACATTCATATTTTGCTGCCAAGGCAACACTAACTCCTTTTTCCAGTTTTGAAATAGCAAGCAGATCATTTGTCCTCCCTGCTCCTGACCCCTCTGATCCGGGAATGCCGGATAGCATGCCAGCTTACACAGGACAGACTTGCATGAGATCTGCACTCATCCCCAATCCCCTTTTGCCTCTCACCCTCATGGCACACTTTACCAGCCCTCCCCAATGTGTGGCCTAGAAGCCATTGAATTTCTGTCTTTAACTTTCCCCAGCCAAAAATAATCCAAGCCCACTGCCCAAAGATAAAGATCTAAAACTGATTGCCATGCCCTCTATCAGGGATACAAGCAGGGAAGTCTAACAATTCCAAAGGTTTCATGCAATATCAATGCATAAAAAATGCATCATCAAGGCTTAAAGGAAGAAAGGGGCTCCTGGCATAAAAAATATGTCCCCTGGTACTAAAAACACCAAAGGACTTCCCCGTGGCAGAGTTTAATAAACCATGTTTCAACGTATGCTTCGTATAGAGACATTTCCAGTAAGAGTCTAATGCTGTAATGCTCAGCAGCTGCAGTGGTAACCCTCAGTGTGCTCCATATGGAGCTGTGCTTATAATCAGCTCCTTCTGGAAGGCTCTTTCCAACTTCTGTAATTAGGATTAAAATGCACTGAGGCCCACAGGAGATGGTAAGACAGGCCTTTTATTTCCATCATTATTTCTCTTAGGCAAGATCATCTTTCAGAAAAAGCTATAGATTTTCTCTCTGATCTTCACAAGAAGAGGTCCAGCCTATTAAACTCAATTCCCTCTTTTTTATAATCTGAAAATGACTTTGAGGCAGCAAGCTTCAGCAGAATAGCAAATGTTCATGGCTTCACTAAAAGATGCTGCTGGGATCAACAGTGAGTTGGGGAATTTGTAAAAAAATAAAATAAAAGTGTGTCTCATTGAGACAAGCAGACACAGGAACCTCAGAAAGGAATCTCAGGTCATTTTAATGAGAAAATGTTCCCCCCCACATTATCTGACACAAGACAATTATGTTGATTAACATACACTCAAGTCTTGAACTGTATCAGTAAAAGAGCTACCAGAAATTATCCATGTGTACAAAAACAGCATTCACAAAAGGAATAGGTAGATTACCTTCACTAATAAAATTATAAAGCTTTGACATGACAAAGCACTATAAATAAAATTAAAAAGTCAACAACAAACCCTAGGGCTAGGGAGATTACAATATTTTTGTCAAACTAAATATCCTCAATGTAGGAAAGCTCTTACAACTCAATAAGGACAAAAATGTATAAAAGACCCCAATAAAAACTTAGCAAAACCAAAGAATGGGAAATTTACAAAAGAACAAACAGCAGTAAATATAAAAAAAAGTTAAAGCTCATAGTTAATTGAACAAATTCTAATTAGAAACAAGAAAGATCAGTTTCCATTGTTAAACAAGCTCAGAATTAAAACAGATTTAAAAGAAGAGGTATTTAGGAGGAATTTTTTAAAAAAGAGGAATTTCCAACATGACAAGAGTATCAGAAAGACTCAAAGGAAAACAAATTATTAGAAACTTTTTAAAGGGAAATTTGGCAAAAAGTATAACAAATATCAAAATTGTACCTATCTCCTTGTTGGAAGAGGACATGACCACCAGTTAACCTGCGAGCTGGACCTGGGCGGTCACAGGGTTCTCACCCCTCCCCTGTCCTTGTGCATTCTGCTCACTGTACCTGCAGTAGGAGCCAGTTTCAAGGATTCAGCTTTGAGAGAGTGAGGTATTGCTCAGACCATCTAGACTAAATAGGGGACTGCTCTATGTAAACATTTAGGGCTGAGTGGGCAGGTGCAGAGATTTACTCCTCTAGGGGCCAGCCAGGACAAGCCCCGTATGTGTGTTCCTTGGCCTGTTAAACCTGCAGCCCACCAATCCGGAGCAGTCTGACTCTCCTGTCTCTTCTGCCCTGTGGGGATGGGTGGCCAGTTTCAGATTTTATTCAGGAAATTCCTGAGGAAATTCCTGAATGTTTCTTGACCCAGTACTTTCACATCTACGAAAATTGTAATTATTTGCCTTTAATGTAGAGTTTGATATTGAAATTTACATTTTTGAGGTTTAAATTTATAACCTAATGAATTGTTAGCATCTTACTAAATAACATTCATATTCATTTGAGTGTATTCAAAATACCTAAACTATAAATGTCTTAATATGGCATCCGTATTTTCTTGAAAATAAAATGAAGAAGAAAGAAAATAACCTCATAAATTTTCTCCCCCTGACCTTGTTCTCATTTTCATGTACTTTCTATTTCTCTTCTGCTAGACACTCTGCTTTATTATCTTCAAGGCAAGAAGAGACAGCATGACAGTGGCCCTAATACAGGGGGACTTGAGTTGGTACCTGACTTTGCTGCTTACCACCTGTGCATCTGGGGTAAGCCTTGCAGCTACTGTCAACTTCAGTTTCCTCATCTGGCCAGTTGGAAACAGTCATCTGCTCTAAGTCCTAGGACACGTACAAGGATCACAGAAAATACTGTATCCCTTAGCACAGGACCTGCCTTTGACTGAACACTTAATGAAGGGTAATTCTTATGTAAAATGTACATAAATAAACATTATGCATGCATTATATGTTACTAACTGCTGGTACCTTAAATGTGGGACTCTATAATTCTATTGCTGATATTGTATTGGAATTGTGGCCCATCACCTATTAAAATAGCACTGTCTCACCTCTATCTACAATGAATGTCTGGGCAATTGCCCATGACAGTGAAAATTTGAAAAAAAATCTTAAGTTCTTGCAACATGGAATTCATTAAATAAATTATAATACCTATATAGGATGGACCGCTATGCAGCTATTGAAATTATGGTATATTGAAGTGTTATGTGTATTTAATGGATGTTTGTAGGACCCTTGTTTTCTCATCTGTGAAACCAGAAACCTGTATTAGAGATGATTCTTAGTCACCTTGAGCTATTTTCTTCCTCTGTATCTGTAGGTCTTCATTGTAATTTAGTTCTTTAGTTTCTTATCTGTGGGGAAGTTGGGGTTCCTATGGCCAGGATCCTCACTGATCTTAAACCACTTGATGATGTAACTGGCTTGTTGCTAGGCTACTGCCTCTATACCCATAGGCAATGAGCTATTACTGCGCTATATGGAGAGCTTGGCCCAGTGCTCTGGGCAGAGGCAGAGACGCTAGTGCCTGACCTACTGCTAGGAGAATAAGTCGGATAATAAACCCTTTCACCCCCCAAAAAACGTTCTACTGTCATTTTTTTTTTGTCACACTCAATCCATAGTGAACTTGCCCGGGGCTGAAACCCATTGGCAAGACATATCAGAGTGGATTTGAAGGTATTTTACCCACACTGAAAGAAAACAGGAGTGAATAGGAGAGGTGATTGTGATAACTAGATTTTCAGGGGATAGTGAAAAACATTCCTTCTCTAGGGCCGCAGCAATGTGATTGATGCTTGCAGTTGTGCAATATGGTGGCCCTGCGGGTGACTCCACCTGCTTCAAGTGGGAGAAGCTCTATCCACAGTACGTGCAGATAATGCTGGGACTGATGGCTTCAACCAAAAAGTCATCAGCAATCTGAAGCCTGTTCTAGCAACCAGCCACATAAATTTAATAGGCATTTGTCTGTCAAAAGAGAAAAACATTTTGTTTCAGCAATTTGTGCTTCATCTTGCCATTGTAGTCTAAAATGTCTGGAAAATCATGCAGAAAAAAATACAGAAAAGAAAGCACACAATCTTAATAAGAAGCACCTCAGACTCTGAAGATGATACCAAACAGATGAAATAAATACCAGATAGTTGACACTGGCTTCCTTTTCAGCTGTGGGAAATTCATCCTGCGTAGGCATTCAGCAGACCTTTCTCCCTGAGTCTCTGTCCCTCATTCAGATTCGGCTCCTTTCGCTGGGGCCTCAGGGTCCCAGATTCATCCTCCCACAGCCCCTTGTGATGAAGGCAGAGGAATGTTCCAAGTTTGGAGAAAAAGAACAACATTCTGCAAAGCAAGGCAGCTAGAAGCAATCACTTTTCTGTAAGGCAGAAAGGTCAGAATCAGAAAAGGAATTAAATATTCTGGATCAGAAATTCTGGGGTGGAGCCTAGCAATATGTGTATTCACAAGCTCTTCAGATCATTCAGATGACCTAAAAATTGAGAATTACTGATTCAGTCCATTCTGCTGCTTCCCTCCATCTTTAACTGAGTCTGAAATAGGTACATTCACAAGGAGATCATCTCAGTAGCATACTTTGGAAATCTCCCTACTCATTTTTCTCTCTTACCTCTGCTTCTGCGAGGCTTTCCTCAACATGATATGTTAAAATACATAAAGTGACATTTATTCTATCACAGTTTTTTTTTTTTTGTGTGTGTGTGTGTGTAGTTCACCCAGAGGGGAGTTGTGGATAAAATGAGAGTTCCTGTGGCCAGGATTCTCACCTGCCGTGGTTGATTGGCTCACTGCACACCTGTGGGCAATACATGGCTGTTGACTCTATATAAAGAGCTCCGCCCAGTGCTCTGGGCACGACATGGTGGCAGGGCTGCAAGGTTGCAGGAGAGCAGAGCAGAGGCTGGAGTGGTGGCAGCACCAAGGACAGAGGCCCAGAGAATGGCTGTGCAGATGGCGAGGCCCAGAGGCAGAGACCGGGTTGCTGTGTGCAGACTTTTTCTGAGTGAATGAGATTTTAGTGACTGACCTGCCACCGTGGAAATGAACTTGGGTATAACCCTTTCACCCAAGAACATTCAACTGTCATTTCTTTGGTCACATTGAATCCATAGTGAACTTGCCTGGGGCTGAAACACATTGGCAAGACCAATGACTTCAATTGCTCCTTCACATCAATGAGTGATTAAACTGCTGTGCCCTGTGGAGTGGAATTTAGGGCTTCTGCTGTGTGTCTTCAGAGTCCCCCACTCCTCCTCACCCTAGTTCTCCAATAGTCCAGCCACATCTCAATGGGATTCCACAGGTTGAAATTCAAGGGAATGCTGCTCCCATACCCACAAGGCTCACAGTGGAAGTCCACAGACCTGAAATTCCATGGGGAGGGTGTCTAGACCCCAGGAGCTCGTTCTCTGCTCAAATGAGGAGACAGCTGGTAATTTTCAGAGTGCCCTACATGCAGCCTTTACCCCCACCCCTGCCTTCCACACAGTCGCATGCCAAACCCCTGTATCTGATCCCCACTTCAAATTCACAATAAAGACCTAGTAAGAATGTCTGCACTAGAGTATGATCCAAGTCCAGCATTTTCTTGGGCCACAGTGGGCTTTAGTTTGCACAGTTCTATGTAGCATCAATATATATCTGCTTTCAACCTATATTAAAGCATCCTCCATGACAACTTTTTTCCACAAGTTATTTATAATGTTTCCACACTATGATAGATGCATAAACTTACTAGGAGAAACAGGAGGTGGAGGAGGGCAGCCAGCCCAACTTCTTGCAGCCATCCAAGGGTCAGTTCATCTATCCTGTCATCTTGCCTCTGACCTCCAGCTGCTTTACTTGAATACAGAAAAGCACAAACAGCAGCTGTCCACATCTTCTATGGCTCTCCAACTAGCCATATCCAAAAACAAAACTTGGCAAAAGAAAAAAGAAAGAAAGAAAGGCTTAAGGTAAACCAGAACTAAATGAAGATAAAACTGTGAGGTTGAGAAAGGCTTCCTTGGTTGCCTTCCCACTTTGCATTTCAGAATCCTTCCATCCAGGCTGCCCATACTGCCAGCCCCTCTGCCCTCATCTAGTTCCAGAAGCTAAAGGCTACCACTGAAAGGTCCTATCTGGACTCATCCTTCCTGAATAGCACCTGGTTGTCTGAATAAGAAAGTTTTTTTCTCCTCATAAATGCCATCAAATATACATTCTACTTCATTCCTATCTCTTAGAATCTGTTATCTTCTTGTTTCTCTGACAAAAACTGGAAGCAGTTAATAGGTACTGATAAATTAATTTGACCTGTTATTGGAAACAGTTCATCTTTTTTTCATTTTTCTCAGTTAATTAGTGTCTATTAAGTACTCACTGTGTGTGCAGCCCCATGCTACGAAAAAGAGTAGGATATTTAAGAAGATTATATGCTAGCTAGGAGGAAGGCTACACACCAAAACATTGTTTAAACAAAAAGCTGAAGTATAATGTCATGAAATGCTAACATAGAGGTGTGCAAAAAAGGAGACTGTACAGAGAAAAGGAGAATGGAAGGAAGCATCTGGAAGTGAAACTAAAAGAATAGCTAAAGACCAGTTGTCAACAACTGTGTGTTGTCCTAATGAGTTAGACCTTTCTTCCTGCAACTGGGAAATTTGAATAGCTTTCTGAGGATAACTTGGTCAAAGGAAGTGGCTGTGAGAAGAAGTCTTCAGGCTCGCCCCTGGCAGAGGTTCTGCTCTGGGTTCTGCAGGTCTTCGGAATTGCCACCTCCCCAGCACAGGCCGAGGTGACCCACTGTCCTGGCACTGCTTGGGAAGTAGTTTTTAAAATATCATTTTAAAACATCTTTCAGTCTGTATAACCCTGTCTTCTCAGAGGATTTTAGGAAAAAGACCACTTATATTTCCAACTGAATGAAGTTCAATGTTATCTAAATGAAAGGTTTGGGAGAACAACATTCTCTCCCTTGTTTGGAAACAGAAGAATCTATCAATTGACAATATTAAAAGAAACTACAGACTTCAGATTTAATTAACAGATTATCAGCTGATGTCAGATGAAAAAGAATTAAAAAATTCATAGAACAAAAGGTATGTGATAAAAACTGTGGTTCAGAAATTAGTACTGGGTCTTCTGTTTCTTTAATATAATGCTTCGAAACCCAACATGTAAAATGATAAAACATAACATTTGACATTATACATCTCCTTGTGAATTTTTCAAACCATGACACATAATTTGACAACCACAGCTATGTGCTACAGGAAAGTCTAAGCCAAAACATAGGAATGGGAGCCAGTGAGTCAAGTGGGGGGAGGGGGAGTGCAAGGAGAGAGATTAATGTATGTTAAGCTTATGAGGAAAAAAAATAGAAGATTTTCCAAAAGTGCAGAACTAAATTCAGTCCTACAGCTACATAAGGAAACTCTTAACTAAAATAGACATACCATTCAGTACTTTGAAATTATAATTGGCCTTTCAGCAGCATTTTGCATTGAATTAGTCTCCTTTAACTATGAATCCAGAAATACCAGCCTCAACTGGTGCATCTTCCCTGTACCCCTAACATTTGATAAAGATCATTACTTTCTTTAGTATACATGAATTTCAAATTTTTGCTGAATGATTTCTTAAAGTGCATTCTAAATAGGAGCCCATGCATTGGCACACAGGAATGCTAATGAGGAGCTACAGGCAGTTCTCAATTTAAAACTTGATTGCATTCCAAAATGTATTGGAAAGTTGACTAATTGGAACTCAGAATGCATCTTCTTGCAGAAATAACTGATGGAGAGTTTCCTGGACTATCCACACCAGGTCTGCTTGGCCATGGCATACCTAAGCCTGAAGTCTGGGTCCAGGTAACAGGGCCTTTGGGTGGAGAGGGAAGATGAGGTATAGGGAAGCTTGCACCTCTCTTTTTAGGATTACTGTTATTATACGGTAAACAGTGTCTTAGCCATTCTCCCTCCTCCCATTAAGTATCTCTCCACCCCTTGCTAGGGCCCCTCTCCTCAGACCCACTGGGTGTCACCAGCACTCCCAGTTCCATCCCCACCCCTGCTGGCAAAGCACTCCAGCTCCAAAAGTACTTTCCCTGCATCCCTCCAGCCCGAGCCCATGTGCCCATGATCTTCACGCCCACTGTGTGCAGCAGAATGGGAGGTAGCAAGAGAGACACATTTGCAGTTAGTTAGTCTGCCACTTACAAGCTTTCTTATCGGCCAGAGATACGTTAGCAGCAGTTCCTCTAACTGCTTGTTCTGGCTGTTGAGAAATCAAATTGTCCTTAAGAAAAAAAAATCCATAAATTTTCAGATGCTCCATTCTTGGCAGTAAAAGAGCCCAGGCTAATGTCCAGATAGTGGAAGTCCCTACTGCTACTGTGTGTCATTTCTGTGGTCGTTTTGAATTGGTTTAAGAAGAGCTGTCTATGGCTTATTTCTCTCTTTTTCTTTTTCCTTGAAAGTATTTCAGCATGTTTTCTCTAAATGCCCAGTGATCCCTTAAAGGGAGATCCATTTCTTTTGAAGCAGATGCCATTTGTCACTGTCCTATTCTGGT